TGGGACGCCTATGATAAATCTACTTGTAACTTTATAGAAACTTCTGGTGTGGAGAACAGTGATTGTTTAACTCAAATTAAGCAAACTATTCAGGCATACTTGTCAGAGCCTAGATTACAGAGAAGTGCAGATATTTATTCCTACTGGGATTCTAGTCCATATCTGTCTTTGAGATAGGTGGCACTGAAATACTTATCAGCTCCACCAACGAGTGTTTCTAGTGAATAATTATTTAGTGCTGCTGGACAAATTTATTCAGACAGAAAGAGCAATCTGCGAGGCGAAAATGTTGATAAACTATTGTTTCTTACCTATAATATAAGATTGTTTTGCAATATTATGATTACGATTAGTTTATAATTTTTTGTTTTTTGTTGAAGTGTCAATATGACGATTAAGTATAGAAGAAGGTAATTTGTTTTTAAGATAAAAGTGATTTATGTTTCTTTGTTCATTACTTAAATATTAAGTACCTATCCACCTATAACTATTGTGATATTAGGTAACAACATAAATAAATAAGTATTAAAGCTACCTATGTGATTTAAAGAAAAAAAAATAAAACTGACTGATTATAATACATTTTCTTTATTTTTCTCTGAAAACATGATCCTTATAAAAAAGTTTCGGTTTCGGTTTCGGTTTCGGCCGAAACTGAGACCGTTGCCGAAATTCGGTTTCGGTTTCGGTTTCGGTCGTAAAAACCAGTTTCGGTCGGACACTACTTAATGCAGTTAATACTACATTTGCTCTAACCAAACCACTAAATGAATTACCAAACGAGATAGTAAGGACTGTATCGGTTTGTTTAATAGTCATGGTCATTATGAAGACATTACAGTACCTTTTAAAAAACTTAAACAACTTATACAGTACTTACTGCACAATATCAGAGAAAGAAGAGACAGGATATTCTTTAAAGTTGATATTATGACATTCGTTCGCTTCATCTCTCTTTTTGCTGCAGCATCCTGCCCAGCCTTCCTAAGACATTTTCTATAACATAAATGGGAAGTAAGCATCGTCCTGGAGGTCAGCCGTGTACGCCTTACATTGTTTCATACCTCGGGTAAGACAAACTGCTATATTATTAGTCCTTTCATAGCTTTAAAGCCGGCAACGAACAAAGGCTTCGCCACACTAAAATTGACAATATGAGCAACACATTCCCTATACTATTGTATGCAAGCTTGTGGGAGAATATAAAGAAAAATAAAGCTCTAGACAAGGCCATAATTTTGTGCAAGTACATTGGGTGTGCTGGAGAAAAATTTACTCTATGTATCTATACGGAGAAGTCAAACCAGGTTAAAATTATTGTTATAAATGTATATACATACATATATTTCCTTTGTCTACTTTTATTTCAAACTAGCTGTACCCTGCATGCGTTGCGAAAATGGTACGTAAATTATTAAGAAATAACAAAAAAACTATAATTTCACATTTAGATTTTTGGGCCAGGAACCTTCGCGGGCGTCCCTGGAACACCTGCCAAAGTTTCATCACAATCGGATCAATGGTTTCAGAGTGCATAGAGGAGAAACATTGACTTTATTCATATTTATTAAACTGTGTATTGCTTTTTAATACTTAACACACAAGTCTAATTTTTTAACGTCTTCAATAAAGAGAGGTTTCTCAATTTTACTAAATAATTTTGTGTGGGTATTACGTACGCTATATCTACACCGTTCGTAAACTTAACGAACTAACTTAAATAACTAATTTTAATTAATTAAATGGTTATTTCTTAATTGAAAGTTATTCATTTAAAAATTGACGCAGTTTCGAGGATTTCGAGGGTGGAAAACCGAAGAAAGAATACCACAAATTGATGAAAAAAATACTTTAATTAGTCATTTGCGGTATAGCCTAACCAACAAACTGTTCAAAATTTTGTTATTCGATAACGTGACAAGGCATACACTAAAAGTAAAAAATCACAAAAATAATAAACGGAAGTTATGTAATTTTTGAATAGTCCCTGGATTTAAAAATAATTATTTCCTTTAAGATTGCCAGCAAAAAAAAAACATCTGCAAGATACTAAAATATACATATATAAGGAACATAACTTGTAGAAAGTTAAGGTAGTTAATGAGTACAAAATAAACATTTGGGTGTAAAAGTGGATCTCGGTCAAGCTTGGAGCCGATGGTGCATCGTGCAAATCTTTAAGTAACGGTAGTGACTCCTATTAATACTTTAATGCAATACCTTTCATTGATAATTTGTTCATTGTTAAGTAACTGCTGTTATATAGTATTTAAAGATAGTTACTTTAGGTTATTTCATTAGCTAAATATTTTTAGGGATCCGTACATATGACAAAACATAATGAAATTTTAAAGGACTTATTTTGTATGTTTTTCGTAGCTATGGTGTTAAATTACAGTTTATCAATAAAAAAAGACACTGCACTGATACACTAAAGTAATAGTAATTACTTTAGTGTATTCTAAAAGTAACGGTATTTTTTTTTTCATTCATAAATATTTTCGAAGACAATTTAATAATGCGCTACTGAGCCTGGCCTGATGAAATTGTTTAGCCTCACTAATTCAAATAAGCAGCCTTTTTTTATTGTGTGGGGTTCGTAACATTTGCTCTCACCAGTGGAAGATCTAGATGTTATCCCTTATATGTAACCATTCCTTATACTTTTTAGTTCAATGAACAGGTTTTTATTAAACTTTCAATCTTATTGGTGTCAATAGTAGGCCAAAACCTCCTTTCTAAGGAGAGGCCTATGTCCAGCAGTGGACGGTTAAAGGCTGTTGATGATGATGATGATGGTTTCTACTTACTTAAACTATGATTTAAAATCAAATGAAATTTCATCATTTAATTATAAACACTTTTTGTTAGTGTACCAGTCCGTTCCTAATAAGTGCTTTAAGCTTATTGATGGACCTCAGCAATTTATGCTTGTAAGAAGATTGCGTCGTACAATCTGTTACAAGGAGGCCTGCCGCCGGCGTTGTTTTCTTCATAAATAGCCACGTAATAGCAGGGGCTTTGTACGATGTACACCGATGAGTTGTTATAGATATAATACTGTACTGAACTATTTTAATTTCTTATGTGATTTTAAAATATTCTAAACTAAATCGTATTTTTGGTAGTTTTAATTAGATAATAGCTTAGATATAGCACAACAATTTGTCAATATTTTTATTACAAGTGTACCTACTACTGACAACAGTGATCAAGTTGCAACAAAATAAAAAAAAGGTATCATATCGGTCAATTGAAAATATTCTGTGAGTACTTGTTTAAGTCTAAAGTTTTTTGTACCTTTAATCGTCCAATACTAAAGGGGGATACTCTAGACACGTGAGGTGAGATGAGGTCAGGTTCCAGCGGTCTATAGGGATTTCCCTATATATACATACATTAGATACATTTGTATTTCATAGGTATTTTAGGTAGGTATTATAGGTATTTTACCTGCATTAGAACTTTCAATGCACGACGCAGGATTAGCAGTAGTAAGACATAAAAAAAACAGCGTTACATCAAAATAATAGAAACGCACAACGAGTGCGAATTAGACTACTCGTATTATGTCACTTAGTAACTTAAAATAATTAAGCATTGTGCTGAATGTATATATCCTTATGCAGTTTTAGTTTTGTCAGTGTTATCTTTGTTCAGTGTTACATGCGACATTTTACAATTAGAATTGTTAAAATTTAGTGAAGTTTTCTACCTACATAGTATCTACTGTCTATATCTACTTCAAAGTTTTTGGCAAATGTAATTGCAGAAACGAGTTTGCAGTAAGTCAGTTGGACACCGACTCGGGAAGTCTCTTGACAACGTGAAAATAAGGCCCAGAGGGTGCAAAGCATCAGATATTCCCGCAACGTGCTAAAATTTGCACCGTGCCGTGTTAATGGACGTCAGTTGCTGCTTTTGCGTTGAGGCATTGTTTGCGCAATTAAGACTTCTTCCTTAAAAGTCGAGTCTCATATAACATACGGAAAAAAAGCTCTGGAATGTCTTACTCTCCGGTTGTTCGTACAGGCATCTACTGTTAAACGTAGTATCCTCTTATGATCATCCTGGCATGGGTCTCGGTAGCATCTTAAAACGTTAAAAGGCGATAAAATCAATGACTGTACGTGTTTATAGTTTTATATAAAATTAAGCTATAATTTTATAAAATTTAAAATGGATGTCACTTCTAAGAAAAATAAGAACGGGAATAAATTTTAACTCTCGTGCACGATTGTACTAAAAGATATCGCTTTTTTAATTTCGAACACGATGAGTCGATGACACAAGAAATTGCGTCCAGGCAATCGATCATTTTATTACTACACTGAAAGCGACAAGACCAGCTTACTTACAATTTTGATTTACGCATCACTTTCGTCCAGAAACCGTTAAAGCTTTTAAACCTGATATTGAGGAAAGTCGGTAAGAAAGACGGATGGCCTCTTGCTCAATTCTATGCTAATGGTCGATAAAGCGCGTGTGAAATGGAACGTACGGCCGCCATTTTGCTTTATTGTCGCAAGCGATTTATGAATTTCGTAACAACTAACAATTGATTTGTAATGAATAGTGAGGAAGTGTAGAATTTCGTTTATTCTGTTAAATAGGTAATTGCGTTTTCTTTTTGTCAGCAAATGATATTTAGTGAACGAATTACGTGCATTGTGTAGACATTAGAAACCAAATAAATAACGATGCCGTCACTTAGTAACTACGTTTTAAACCAAAATGGTTATTCAGTATTATGTACAAAGTAAATGTAATTTTGGTTACGAGGAAATTTTGAAAATTTTAACACAACACTTGAATTGATTTGACAGTGAAATCTTTTTTTAAGGTGTTAATGCGCTGTTTTGTCTGCGTTTTCGAGGACAGACGATAACCTATTTCAATTGTCGTAAATGTAGAGAGAGTACTCACGTTGCCGAGGAAGCCGCTGCAAGGTTGTATGGGTGGTGGCAAAGGCGGCAGATCCGGCGAACGGAGCCGCGGGCTTATCCTAATGCTGCGCGCCTCCTCCGTTTGACCCATTGCTCAGTTGTACATTTCTGTAACAAAAAAAAACTCGTTAAACTAGGTACTTCCATTCACATAGACATAATTTTACATTTTATTCTTCTTTCTCCACTACAATAATTTGATACGAGTATGTTATGTCTACGCCGATGTGCACGTGGCTTCCTCTACCTAAATCAATTACTAAAATAAATATTATCCCTTTTATCCCTTTTTAAAGATTTAACCAAAAAGAAAATATCATGCAAATTGCCTCAGGAATTTCAGTTTATTAACTCTAAACAAACTAATACTAGTATAAGCAAGATTAGTATACGTTCGGTTTTGTTGTTGTTATGTTTTATCTGAATTTTCTTTTTATAATTAGACGAGTATCGTAGTATATTTTGTACTTTATTAAACTAATCTTTAGTCATTTTAAATAGTGACTTACCTATTAATTTTAGTATATGTTAGTACTACGCAGTCGTGTAAAAGGCTTGTGTCCACTAATATCAAACTGCTTGGTTTATAGTTTCAAATTATAAATGAAGATACATAGATAAAAAAAAACAGTCTATTTCTCATAAAAGTTAAAGATTATTAATATTTTTATTATTAAAGTATTTAATTAACTAAGTTTTTAAATTGAGTCAACTAGCCTAATACATCTCTTCGTTTCCCTCCAAGGAGGCAATATATAGAATTTGTATTACATTCAAGTATCAATAATTTAAAATAGTTGGCAGCACAGCAGTGCGTTAACGCGGTACGGCCCTTTCAAATGTGAAGGTGGTAACTTGAGACGAGCCAATAAAATAAGGACAGATGCTATGAATGTTGTCTTGCACTTAAAGGAAAAAGTTCTTTAAAGATATTTAATATTTCAAGCATAACTTATTTTTCTTATAATTTTATTCTTTCTTAAGGGCTTATATCTACTTGTAAGTCCGAAAAAACGTGTTTCTTTGTGATTTTTTTGTGAAGAGGCTTTTTATTAAATAAATACATAGAATAAATGTACATATAACCAATTTAATGTATTTTAAGAATTTGCAATGTATGTTCCGTTGTTCCTGTAGTAGATCTCCTAGAGGACCTCCACAAAATGGTGTCTGGCGGTGAGGAAGATATCTCTGATCCAAATTATATGAAATAAAAAAAAACATAAGATTTATTTTTAGGATAGATTAATACAGGTAATGATCAAAGGAATAAGGTTTCTGAAAATAATTTCGATTTTTTAAGTCACTTTAAAGTGTAAATTTTCTTGAAAAAAAAACGATTTTTTTCTTTGGGAAGCCGCCATTTTGTCAAAAATAAAAATTTTGACTATTCCATCGATCATTACCTGTATTCATCTATCCTAAAAATAAATCTTGTGTTTTTTTTTTTATTTCAGATAATTTGGATCAGAGATATCTTCCTCACCGCCAGACACCTTTTTGTGGAGGTCCTTTAGGAGATCTACTACATTTTGTATATACATTGCAAATTCTTAAAATAAATTAAATTTGTTATATGTACATTTATTCTATGTATTTATTTAATAAAAACTACCTTCACAAAAAATTCACAAAGAAACACAGTTTTTCGGACTTACAAGTAGATATAACCCCTTAAACACAAGAAACAGTAGATTTTTTGTCAATATGCTATAGTCTTCAATGTGTCTACATCAAAATAAATACTAGGCTGCTGTTATATTTCATTTTTACATTTTTATTTTGCTCTTTAGCTTAATCGAATAGGAGAGGCCTATGTCCAGCAGTGTACTGCGATAGGCTGATGATGATGATGATGAAAATAGCTTAATGTCAACTGCCAAAAGGACTAACATTTAAAAAATTTACGAAGTATTTTCCATAAATAAAACGTCATTTTTTTCAACTAAAAGAGGTACTAAAAAGGTCAGTCATCCATCAGCATCATGCTTTTTTAACAAACCGTACCTACATCTATTGTTACGTCCAGCAGCTCATAATCATTTAATTTAAAAATAAAAAAAAATCTATGTAGGCACATTCATAATAAACAACAATTTTATAATCAGAATTAACTTAACAGAATAAACTAGATAGGTAGTAAGTTAGGAGTTTGAAAAAAAAACTAAAACTCAAACATTAATGAGTTTGAAATTAGAACTATTTTACATATATATCCTATAATTTAAATATTGATTTAGATTTTATTGTTGATGGACGTATGATTTGTGATGTTGAAGTTCAACGTGATTAACCTTTAAATCGGTCTACCTAATGAAGAACCTTGAACGATTCGTTTCTAGTCTGTGGTCGTAGTAGATCTCTTGATAAAATTTCCGCCTCGTTGGTCTGCCATACAGAAAACTGTTCTGTGTGTGTGTTCTGCTCATTGCCACTTCAGTTTACTAGTAATCACTACAAGCGTGTTAGTCTAGTGGTCAGCGATACTGATTGCTATGCCAGAGGTCGTAGGTTCGACCCCACCCACGACAAATAATTGTGTGATGAGCACAATCATTTGTTCTATGTCTGGGTGTAATTTTTCTAAAATATGTTTGTATTTACAGTATTTAGAAATATATAAGTATGTTCATCTGTAGTCTGGCTACCATAGCACAGGCTCTGTCTAGTTTACTTTGGGATCAGACTGCCGTGTGTAAGATGTGTTAGGTTAAGGTCAATTATTTTGATCATCAATCATCATCATCATCAACAGCCTTTAACAGTCCACTGCTGGACATAGGTCTCTCCTTAGAAAGGAGGTTTTGGCCTACTAAATAGTTTCTGGTTATTATGCTAAATAGTTTCTGGTTATTAAATTTAGTTTAATTTCAAATTTCTTCGAAATTTGAAATTAAACTAAATTTGAATGCTTGTAAATTATCGTAAATTAAAATTTAACACTATGATCAAACCAAATCGAAAACTCAATTAGAACACGTTAGCGAGTCTCATTGTTTCTTTCTAGTTAAGATTAGGTAGGTCACCTGTCCAATTATCGGTCAATGAATTTTGACTTTAATAAAATAAAATCCAGACTCGTTTAGGCTTTTGTATTGCGGACTACGTTCTTGATAAACTAACGTTATTTTTCTAGTGAAAACAAGAAAAACTCGATCGTGTCAAGATTGCGGATGTCTGTTTTATTGTGTTATATGTGATTGGAAACCAACGGTTGTGGCCGAGGTCGTTTGTTCAACTCTATTCAACTGCTAGTTGTCATTTTTATACTACTAAGATCACAAAAATAAAATTATTACATCAATAGTAAAACCAAATAGTAAATATCTCGGATATAAAAATAGTATTGATTGTTTTCTCATTAAGGACTAAAAAAGTAACAAGTAAGTAAGTCTTAATAATTGGCATAAAATACTACCGTATTGTTTAATTTGAAAAAGTCCTTAATCCTGAAGATCGTATTGGATAATCTGGCAACCTTTATAAAATTATTGTATTGCCATCGCTCCTTGACAAGTGTCCAAAATGTTGATTTAATCTGACTTTTTGGTCACCCACCCACCCACTTTCGTCAAAATCAAGTTCAAAGATTCCGTTACATACATACATTTAAAGCTAATAAAAGCGTGTTCAAAATCTAAAATCAGTTTTTGAACTTGATTGTAATCTATACTTCTCAGGTACCGCCTAAAATATAATAGGATTCCGTAACCTTGTCAGCAAAAATCTTGCCTGATTAGGCGATTTGGCGTTTCTGGTTTTCGGCGATCTGTATCATATTTCTAGACAAATACTGATAGTCTATTAACATCATACTTGTACGTCTTTCATACTTGCAGTGATTCATCATTCTTTAAAAAAAATTAGTTTCTATATTGAAGGTCACAACTTTCCTAAATGCCTAATAGCTTATTTATAGCATCTACTAAATGATCGCTTTAGTACACCTAAAGAATATTAAAATATAAAAGCCACTCCCAAAACAATTGATATTATAAAAACTAACCATATATAACTTTTATTTAAAACTTCGATCAATATTTAAAAAGTGGAAATTTTGGTCGGCATGTTGTTCTGTCAAACGTCGCCAGGGGTGATTTACTGCAGGGTCTTTATAGAATTCAGTTCAATTTTCAGACTTAATATAAGTGCATAAAAAATGTCTTACATAAATTTTGCATAAATGTTTGTTACCTTTACGATTAAACCTCCGCAACTTTATTATTGAATAACTGACTAGTTGGATGGATCTTTGCAAAATAATTATGCGGATTATTTACTCAATACATTTTTTCTAAGACACTTATAATCGGTTTTTTTTCAAACCTAGTATAGTCTAGTCTAGACCATATATCATTTAAGAGGTAACCAACCTCTTTGAACGCGTATTTTTTTATTATATATAATACAATATATAAAACGTAATAAAACAAAGCAATGATCATAAGGTTTCACCTTGAAGTCGTTCTGGTTCTACCATTTCCTCCGATCATTTGAATTAACGAACCACACCGACAGTTTCTTTTATTCATGAGCTAATTAATTAATTAAGCAACATCATATTTATTTTAGTTCTCCTCGATTATGTGATAATTTGCTATCTTTGACAGTGACATTGTGAGGTTATGCGGCACTCCAAAATTCGAGCAAGCAATGCAATAAAGACATCTAAATAACCCCCATTATGATATTTTTATGGTATAAAAGGGTAAGCAAGCAGTCGGATCAACTGATGGTAAGGGACTACCGCCATCCATGGTCACTTGTAACTCAAGAGTCACAAGTGTTAGTAGTTGCCGCCTTGGGAGTAAAAATAATGAGAGGGTTTTGGGGTTCCGCTAATCACCCACTCGGTGAAAAGCTACGAAATATTTGTTTGTTAGAAAGAACTCCCTCACTGGGAATATATCCTGTGTCGTGGCTTAACTAACATACATGAAACGGACACAAAGAACACCCGGTCTCAGGACGACAATTTGTGGATCACACACACAACACTCAGCCACGGTACTATTATAATTGTACCGTGACTCAGCGTAGTAGGAAACGGCGTGACGACCGCTTAAACCACTACGCCATCCGTGCAGTAAAATAATGATAATATTTAT